GGATTACCTTCACCGTGTGCACCCTGATTTCATCGCGGTTGCATGGCCATGCACGGAATGGACCATCATGCAGAACGCCAACCAGAAGACATGGACTCAGAAACAAGCACTTCTCGCACGGCGAGTTGAAGCTCGCAAACTACTTCGATTCACCCGCAGAGTCACATTGTGGCAGGCTCGGAGCGGTCGGGCCATTTTGGGTGAGAACCCACTGCTTTCATTGGCATGGAAGGAGCCTGACATCATTGATGCCTTCGGCCATCTGGATGAAGCTATTTGTGATCAATGTCAATATGGACTTCGCCATCCAGAGAACGGTATGCCTATCAAGAAGCCCACGAGGTTTGTGGGTCAAGCAGACGTAGTTTCGGAACTCCACCACCGTTGTCCTGGTGATCATCAACATCACCAGATTGAGGGCACTGTCAAAACCAGTGCCTATGGCAGAATTTCGCTTTCCTCTTGGGCAGGTGGCTACCCCCTGCCGCTGTGCCGCGCCATCATGCGAGGCGTGCACACCTTCTTGGACAAGCAGGCCAATGACACCCGCACAGAGGTCTATATGTTGGATGACCAGGTGCCAGAAGAGGCAATCCAAGAAGGAGAGGAAGGCATCGATGAGGAAGAACAACGTATTCAATCCTACAAGGATGAGAGCGAGGATGATCTTGAAGAGGAGGAGAGGCGACCCATCTCTCAAGAGGTGAGGAGGGCTGTTGAATTTGCCCATCGGCAGTTGGGCCATCCCAGCAGGGATACACTTGTTCGCATGCTGCGAATTTCAGGAGCTAATGATGATGCAATCCGGCACGCTCGCCGATGGCATTGCGATGTCTGCAGGATGCAACAGCCACCAAAGCATCCACTCGCCACAACCGCTACTTCAAGACCATTTGCTTTCAACCGAGTTTTGCACATTGACATCAAGTATCTCTTCGACACCCAGGGTCGGAAGTATCCTTGTTTGAGTATTGTTGACCTTGGAACTGTGTACCATGCAGGCTGCATGCTGAAGACCAGAAGGTCAGACTACGTCGCCCGCAAATTCTTGGTTCACTGGGTACAACTGTTTGGAGCCCCAGGACATATTTATCATGACCAAGGCGGCGAGTTCGAACTGTCTTTTACACAGCTTTTGGAGCAAATGGCTGCGCCCAGCACAGTCACCGGATCGCACGCCGGTTGGCAGTTGGCCGTCGGAGAACGGCGTGGGGGGAATCTTGGGAACCATGGTTGGAGCAATCACAACCGAGCACGTCACAGAAGGTTTCCATGGTATGAAGTTGGCATTGAGCTCAGCGCTGGCAGCCAAGAACATGACCATTACCCGTGAGGGTTTCAGCCCCAACCAGAGGTTGTTTGGAACGGAGGTCCGCTATCCCAGTCTTTTGGAGGACGATGTCAAGCCTAGCTTTGCAGAAAGCTTGGACACCGAGACTGAGTTTGCAAGATCCCACCGTATGAGAACCACTGCCAGGTTGGCGCTGATCCGGATGGATGTCCAGGAAAAGATGAAACGGGCCATTTTGAGGAAGCCCGGTGTGGACACAGAAGGTCCATATGTTCCTGGATGCCAGATTTACTTCTGGGTGCCTAAGAAAGCTTCAAAAAGATACAGTCGAGGAGGTATCTGGCGTGGACCTGCAACAGTTTTGGTTCGTGAAGGACACCAACGCTATTTTGTTAGCTGGAGAGGACGCGCCTTGCTCCTTGCAACGCCAAACATGTGTTTGGCTACAAAGGAAGAACTGGCCATGAATGAGCCCGCAAAAGAAGATGCAGAAACCATTGGCCAGATGCTTCGCGATCCAGAGCGTGATAACGCTTATCACGACCAAACCCATTTCAAAGGAGCTCCCAAGCGGAAGCACATCAGAGATGACCCTGAGCGTAAACGTGCCCGATTGATGATGCGAGGCACCAAGTCAATCCGGGAGTTGCTCAAGAGCCGGTTTGGCTTCAAAGAACAGCTCAGGAAGCGCAAGGTGCAGCTCCAGCCGCCAGAGAAAGGAGATCCGGTAGCACCGAGGAAGAAAGTTAAGAAGGCCCTACCTCCACCGCCTGCGGCGGAGTCTCAAGACTCAATGGAGGAGTATACACCTTCTCAAGCACCAGGGCCAGAGGCTCCACAGGAAGGCCAGCGGCCTATGCTTCCTGCTCCAAGTTCAGCTCCAGCGGAGCCACCTACAGAAGCCCCGCGAGCTGAAGATGTTCCGGTGCCACCCATGGATGAGAATGAGTGGTTGGAAGAATACAGACATCTCCCTCAGGAAGAACGCCGTCGCATTCTCCAAGATGATGTCCCACATGGGATCAAAAGGAAAGGTGGCATTACTGAAGAGGATGCTGACCGAGCAGTGAAGCGCCTCAGAAGCAACTTCTGCGCAGCGACTGCAGCCAGCACTGTGTGGAACCCTACAGAATGAGTGGGTTTCTCGTTATGAAGTAGAACTGCTAAGACAGCTGACAGGGTTGCCAGTTACAGCAGCCCGCATTCACAGAGCACCACGGAAGAGGCTGCAACGACCCCCGAAGATGGTGTCGCGTTCCCGCTTGAGTATCCTCATTGGAAAGGATCCAGCAAGCACTTTCATTGTCAATGAGAAAGATGCAGAGGTTGCAGCCCATCCCCGTCGGCGAGCCAGCTTCGAGTGGCGGGGTCTTACGATGTTCTATCGCACTGAAGACCCAAGCAAGCCTACAGAGGTATTTGTCGAACTGCCAGACGGCGTTCATGGGGTGACGCTCACCACCAGTGAGGCAGCAGAGTTCCAGCAGATGTGGCTGGAAGAAATGCACGATACCCTCCTTGCTGAAGTGATGATTCTAAGGATGAAACAGAGTGGCAAAGAGCTGGACCCTAGCTTCTTTGACACCTTCGAGCGACAAGCCTTCAACAAATCGGACATCAAAGAATGGTCCGAATGGATCAAGAATAAGGTTGTCCGGAGGGTGGAGAAGGGCGAGTATGTCCCGCCTTCGTGCATCTTTAGAGCGCCGCTGCGCATGTTACGGGTGAACAAAGCAGCAAGCCCACTTCTGCCTTTGGTGGCCAAGTCACGGCTGATTGTACCAGGTCATTTGGACCCACACCTGGGTGAGTTCCGCACTGACTCACCTACTTGCCCTCAGGCTGCAGTTCGAGCAGCAAAAGCTATTGCTGCTGCCCGCGGATGGGGAGGAGTGACATTCGATGTCACAACTGCATTTTGGAGCGGGAAGGAAACTTCTCGTAAGCTGTACATCCGAGCACCTCGCGAGGGTTTGCCACTGGCAATGGGATGGCCACCCATCAAGTCAGGAGAGTTGCTTGCGATTCTCAAAAGTGCCTATGGTCTCACAGAGTCCCCAAGGTTGTGGTACCTGGAGGCAGTGGATCGACTTAAGGGCACTCCCCTCAAAGAGCTAGCAGTTAGCCGCTCTACTTTTGTTGCCGGAGGCTCCCGGAGTGATCGGTGTTTGGAAGATAGCTGGGCAATTCTTTGCTTACACGTTGATGATGGTTTATTGCTTGGCGATCTCAGCGACCCTCGGGTCATCGCCCTACGCAAACAAATCGACAACCTGTTCACCATCAAGGAATGGAAAGAAGTCACTGCAGAGAAGCCAATTCAATTCCTGGGTGTTGAAATCACCAAGGATTCATCTGGATTTCATGACGACATGAGCAGGTACATCAAAGAAATCAAAGTCGAGAAGCTGCAAGGGGAAGGTCTTTTGGGACCTCGTGAAGTCACACTATACCGCCAGTTGGTTATGCGTCTTCGTTGGCCGGCACAGCAAACAATGCCACACATGCTGTACGAAGTCTCCAACCTGGCGCAGAGGGTGACAAAGGCAACCCACGCAGACTACAAGGAGGCAGTGAAACTGCATCAAAAGTTTGTGGAAGAAGCCAATGCTGGACGAGCCAGATTGACCTATCCACCGCTGGACAAGAACAACAAGTGGTTCTATGTCAGCTACTTCGATGCGTCCCTCGGAAAAGAGTCTGATGGAAAGTCACAGCTGGGTGCCGTACACTTTCTCACCACAGCAGCAGCTCGTACAGGACCGGCCGCCGCCGCGCCAGTTGAATTCAGTACGAACAAGAGTTCTCGAGTGCTGCGCAGCTCGATGTCTGCCGAAGCATGCTCAATGAGCATTTGCGTGGACCGCCATTTGTATGGTCGACTTGTTATCGACATGATGCTCTACGGGCACAAGACTCTGGATGAGAATTGGCGGACCACAATGGGAATTTCTGGAGGCGTTGTCACTGACGCCAAGAGCCTGTATGACCACATGGGTACTACAGGACAGATCCCAACAGAGCGGCAGACCATGCTTGACTTGATGGTGGCTCGTGACCACCTCGAGTCAGGTGCCTACGAACTTTTCTGGGTTCCAACTCACCGCCAACATGCAGATGGGTTGACCAAGAAGATGAAGAACATCCTATGGGAGACCTTCTGCAAGCTCCCCAGGATTTCTCTCAAGGAGACCGAGGACGAGCGAAAGCTAGAGGAGCACAGGAAAGGTTTGAGGAAGGCACAGCGACAGCGTCGCAAGGACCGCATGAAGGGCCGCGAACCTTCTGAGGCAGCGCCTGCTCGTGTACAGTATGTACAGCTGCAATCACGTCAACACACTTTTCTGGCTATGTGAAGATCATAGCTATGTACAGATAGGTAGCTTGACATGATTGCTTTCATGCATGAACCCGCACCGCAGCTTGACTCAAGCGACTTGCGTTGGAAACACCGCGTGTTTCGTTGCGCGTTTGCCCCGCGTTTTCTTTCTTGCTGACGCTACCCTGTGCACTCCGCAACTAGTAATGCCCCGTTCGTGCCCCGTTCGTTTCGCGATGGAGACCTGGTTGCTTCTTGTTACTAGAAGCGTCCTCGTTCCTAGTAGTAAGGCCAGGAGCCCCGATCGTAGCGTCCTTGCTCCGTTCGTAGCGATGCCCTTTGTTCCGTTCGTAGCTTCTTGTATTAGAGATCAGATGAGATCCAATCGAGGTTGTCTTTGTTGCCCTTCGAAGAGCAGCAGGCGGTGATGCAGTACCGGACCTTGTCTGGTGCCCAGCTCCGCTGTGCCATCAAGCCAAACCACCTAGTTCTCCCACAATTCTATCAAGAATCAGATGGAAGCCACCGAACTAGCAGGGAGGGGCGAGGCGTCCTAAACCCCCAAAAACGGTTTATACCAGGGCGGCTCGCAGGGGCTGAGATGAAGAAGACTCCGATGAAACATCAACTCGTTTCGAGAAGAACATGACCCGCCCCGCAACCGCCCCGCAACCGCCCAACGCTTTCCCATGTCGACTTCGCCGCCCGGCCGCAATGTAAGGCCAGATCGCAAGCGCACGTTGGTTGGCCGCTTGCTGTCCCTAAGAGCGTGTGCACAGGTGCAAGGGTAGGGTTTCGTGCAGCAACTGCAGTGGTTCCTCATCTTCCACAGTATGGAACATCTGGAGGCTTTGGGAGACCCAACCTATGATCACATTCAAATTGGCAGCAGCTTGGTTCAATGGTAGTTCTCAGAATGGTTCTCTTCTTTGCCAACGTTCGTGCTTCGCTCGGGCGTCACCCGATTCTGACGGCCAGGAACGAAGGGCAAAAAGCCCTTTTTGCACTCACCTCTGCCTGGCAGTTTGCCGCAAGAAAGCTTAGCTTTGACACCTTTGCCTGACAGTTGCTGAACAAGAAGCCCATCCTTCAACAAGAAGCTACTAATTAGGGGCTCCCTGGCATCGCTGGGAGCGATCGGACGCTACTAGGGCGACGTTGTTGACTCTGTTGACTTCTGAGGAACTTCAACTTCAACATCTCCCATGATGGCAACTGGGTCGTTTTGGCCTCCGATTGCTTGTATTTGGTGGGTGTGCGGCCCAGCCTGTGCTCCCCCCCCATCCTTTAATGACAATTGACAACGACATCAATGCATCGTTTCTATTCCTTTCTGATTTGTTCTTCTTGATTGTGTTTTTTGCCTCTAGACTAGACTTGTTCCTCTTCTTTTTGGCAATTTTCTATGAGTACATATACGTATTTGTGGGCTATGGGCCTTTTATCAGAACCCAAACTGGAGTCCACAAGACTGGCAAGTTCTTTTGGCTCTTTTTCCGTTCAACAAGAGGTGCTTCTTGTTCCACGTTTCGGAGGTGTTGACGTTTCTGCTCCTCAAATTGATCGTGGAGAGCCGGACGATGAGACCTGGTTTCAGGCAAGACCGCGAGCGAGTCAGCGATGTCCTCCAACCTAGAGTGATTCATGATTCAGCCGCCCTTTTTGACCAATGTTTGACGACGTCAGACACATCAAACCCTTGAAGTCTGCTGTTGCTTGCGATGCTCGGCTTACGCGGCGGTGTGGCCGAAGAATGGCATGGCTTGAGCGTCGCGTGCAGGACATGACCTCTGTTTTGACTGAGACTGAGAGGGAGACCATCAGGAGAGGCAAGACACACCAAGAGCGCTACGCCGGGCTGCCAAGAGACGGGGCCCTGGCTGCCGAGACTCGAATTTTGTGGGCGACCAGTGTCCCAATGTTTCTTCTCCGCTTTCGAGTGACGAGCATGAAATTCATGAAGATAGGCAAAGCTAGGAAGATGAATAGGCTTTTGCAGCCCTTGAGATGCAATCTTGGATATGTGTGCCCTTGAGATGCAATCTTGGATATGTGTGCGCAGACATGTGAAAACTGTACAGCCTGGTGCGCCATGCTTCCACTCTCCCCCTTCAGTCTATTACTGGCACTGCAGGTTGCTTACCTAAAGCTGGCTCTCTCTCTCTCTCTCTCTGTTTCCGTTAGCTCTTTGGGGCGCTCTATCTTAATTCACCGGGACTTTGATGAGCATGTTCACCTTTCTTTCTTTTCTTGCAAGGCCTTTTCCTGGTTTTTTCATGTTTGCTTGGCAACTCTTTCTGTTCCAGATCGCAGGCGATTTTCCAGAGGATTTGGTCTGCCAAGGAAGCGGTGGCCAAGGCTCGGAGGTCCCCCCACCACCTTGGTCGTCTCCCAAACCACCCTGATGGCACTGCGAGATCGGAGGCAGTTGGTCAAGGCCTGTCCTTCGGCCTGGAAAGGATGGAGGCCTGTGACAGGGTGAAGCTGTGCATAGTGCTGCAGCAGTGGGATTGTCCAATCACGCGTGTGCCAGGACGTTTTGCCACCCGCCAGATGAAAGTGAGAACGTGATCCGGAAATCGATCCAACAAACCACGTCACCCCTGGAGGTGTCCTTTCCAGAACTGGAGGAGGAGGGCATCGGCAGTCTGGTCTGGTCAGCCATGGGCTGGTCCAGGCTGGAAGAAAGCGTTCTTTGGTCGGAGGCCATCGCTATTGGGCTCCTTAACTTGTTGGGCTACAAGGCCTATGTTTCTTTAACAACCGGGCATTGGGTGGCTCTTCCGGCGAACGCAGGTCTGAGGAGCACCCGCCCAAACGAGGACAGACTTGCCGCAGACTTGCCGTGCGTTCGGCGGCGGTCCTGAGGACGTGAACTTGAGTTACTAGGGGCTGCTGGCCTTCCTAGCAACGATCGGACGCTACGAACGGAACACAGGGCATTGCTATGAACGGAGCGATCGGATGCTACTAGGATTAGGCATCGCTACTAGGAGTCATAAATGCCGGATCCTGTGGCAAGTGAAGCGGAGAAAGCAGTGAAGGAAGCAAGCGTGGCATATGTTGACAGGTCGGACACACTTCTCATCCTTATTGGCCAACTTGCAAGGCCCCGGAGTCAAGTCATGAAAAAAGCAAGCACCCTTTTTGCTTCTTTTTTTAAAGTAATAATTTTTAAGTAATAAAGGGATGTACAAAGTAAGAAAGAATGAGAAGAGATAAGAAGAGAGGAAAACGAGACAGACAACACGAAAAACAACTTTTTGTTAAGACTTTTTGCTTGAAGTCTTCACTGCAGCGAAGTCCGCCCAAGATGTGGCCAATTGGCCAATAGTAGCGATGGCCTCCACCCTAGAAGCGATGGCCTCCAACCGACTTCCGTAGTGCCCTACTAGCGATGGCGACCTAAGATGGCCTTTCGACCACCTTGATCCGCCTTGGATTCGATTTCTTTTCCCTTGATCCGCAGCCCGCGAGGTGGGGCTCGAGGGGATCGGCCCAAAACTCAGAGGGTGGAGGGCAGTGGAGGGCGGACACGTGCACCCCCGCAAAGAAGAATCCGAAGGCATCTGCGGTTTTCCAGGCAAAGCAAGAGGCTGGAGGATGGCAGGGCAGTGAACTTAGTCAATCAGATTGACAGAGCTCTTAAGGCCAGGAGCTACTGGTAGCGTCCGATCGCTCCTAGTAGTAAGGCCAGGAGCCCCTAGCGATGCCCTTTGTTACTAGTAGCTTCTTGCTCCTAGTAAACTGCATCGCACTAGCTTCAGGTTCTTCAAGGGAAGCCGTGCAAAGTAGAATTGCATATCGACCACTGGCTGCGGACAGACTGGATGGTGGAGCAACAGGACATCTTTTTGGGCATTCTTTGGATGTTTCTTCACTGCCCAACAGCCGTATCAGACTCGAGCTCATTGGCTGATGTTTGTTTTGAACCATGTCTTTCTCAACGGATGGAGGCCATCGACCTTAGGTTGGGAGGCCATCGCTACTAGGGTTGGGAGGCTAGGGCCATTGCTATTAAGTTGCAGGCCATTGCTAGCAGGTCGGAGGCCATCGCTAGTAGGTTGGAGGCCATCCCTCTCAGGTTGATCTTGTTTTTTCATGTTTCTCTTGGCTCCGCGAGGAATTCTCGGGTGGATCCTGGGTGACCGTGGCGTTGGGTCCTGTGGATGACGCTGTGGATGCCGTATCACGGCTGGAGAAAAGCGTTGGGTCCGGTGTGACGCGGTGCGTTTGTGGATTCGGTTGGAAGGAGTTCGGTGTTTGATCAAAAAAACAGCAAGGGGATGGAAGACAGGGTTTGTTGTTCTTAGTGAAACCAACCTACTAGCGATGGCCTCCAACATCCTCCAACCATACTAAGCGATGGCCTCCAACCACCTGTCTAAAAAGGAAAGACTGTAAAGGACTGTTTGTCGATTTGGCCATCCCCCTTGGATTCTATGAGCCGACTCCATGTCTCAAGGACGGGAACTTCAAAACGACATTCCGCATCCCTGGTTTGGGAGGTCCTGCAAGCGTGGAGGCTCGCGTTTGCAAACACTTGTGCTGGCTTTGCAAAGCCATGTGACATCACTCAGATGCATCGAATTTTGAATCCGCGATGCCGCCAAAGAGCTTGATACCAGGTTGCTAGCTTTCAAACGCCTTGGTTGGACAGCTTGCACTGTAGCTTGGAAACACGGCCTGTCCCCAGGACGTGTTTCCAGGGCCTGGGTTCCCTGTGTGGTGTTGGCCGGCAACTGGGTCTGAATAAAGGAAGGCCTCGGCAACTGGGTCTAGTTGCCATGTTTCTCCTGGTCTGGCTTTGCAGAGGTTGAGTCCGGTGTACATTCGATCACGTGACGTGCAATGATGCATCAAATGCATCTGGCGGCAAAGCGCTTCAACAGCGCAACAATCTGCCTCGAGCAACGTGGAACTGGTCAAGATCTTTCTTGGCCTGTTGGCGCCTGTGGGCGCCAGTAGGGGAACTCTTGTGGTCGCGTGCAGGCGCTGGCAGCTAAAGGGCAGTCGAATCCTTAGATGTGGAAGGCGGTGGTGTCTTTTGCGATCTGACTCGGCGAGACCTCAGGACAGAAGCTTCACAGAACTGGATTCCCAAACCTTCAGGCCAGCGGACTCTCCCGGCTGTGCTTTTCCACTTCTGTCGTGCTCATGTTTCTCCTTCCCTTTTTCCAGAACCCGCGTCGTTTGGCAGGTTTTCACCAGCTCTCAGTGGATGCACTGGCCCCTGAGAAGGTGTGTGTTGTGGTGCATGTTTCAGCGCCCGAACTTGCCAATCCAGATGGGAATCTCTTACCTAAAGCATCCTAAAGCTACTAGCAGCTGCTGGTTATTACTTGATCTTACTTGCAAGAATGTCCAGAAAGCTCCGATAAAGATCATTGGTCCAGTACAAGTAGGATCCTTGCCTCTAAAATTGCTTCATTTTACGAACAAGACTGAAGGAATGAAGATATGAATAGCATGTAGATGCATATAGTTTTGACATTTTGTGATAAGCTCGTTTTACCTTGCTTTTGCTTTGTAGGTCCGAAAGGAGCTTACGGCGCTGAAAGCTCGCTCCTGGGCTGCAGCGGCTGGCGTGTGACTCATGACTCCGTGTGACCCAAAAGCGCCGCCGCGGCTCCGGAGAGAGCAATGCGTCAAGTGATGCCCTTTGCTCCTAGCTATAGTAGCATCCTTGCTCTTAGTAAGGCCCGGAGCCCCTAGTGGCGTTCTTGCTCCTAGTGAAGCAAGATGAAGCAAGACCCAAATTCGCACTGCTCAAGTCCAGCTGCCATATATGATGCATGCTGTGCAATCTCGACTGACTCATGATTGGGCAGCCGCAAGGGTAGGTAGCAGGTAGCTCCACCTTTTCAATCGTCGGGTTTGATATCACCACGTACGTTGAAGACTGCTTGAAACAGCATCGCCATGGGCTGCTGCACCTCTCAGAGTGGCAAGGCGAGACCTTGGCAAAGCTGTGTTGTCCGTGCGGCGCCATGTTCTCCAGGGCCCTGACAAAGCGAAGATCGTCGCTTGAACGCAGCGAAGATGTCTCGATCGTCCGTTCGCGGACACGGCGGATGTGTGTCGAGGCGAAGACCAAGTCCGACAAGCCACCCGTCAACGGCAAAGATGGACCAAGTCTCAGTTTTTGACCAATCCGGGGATGGACCCGTCGCAGTCGCAATGGCTGCCCATTTCTACGAGTCCGGAGCGATCGGACGCGACGTAGCTCCGGGCATCGAAGAACGGAACGCTACCGCCCTTCGACGCTCTACTGCGCTCGCCGAGGCCAGTTGTTGACCGAATTGGACGCCCTCTCGATCGCCGGGGTTCCCAGCGACCCTTTCTTCTTCCCGTCGGCGTCCCGGGACACACGGGGCGTCGGGAGGTGCTCCGAAAGGACTCGAGGTGCTCTCCAACACGGAGCTCGTAGCGTCCTAGCGTAGCTCCGTTCGGTTCGCGTCCGATCGCGAACGGTTCGAGTCGCGAGGGCCCTTTGCTCGTCGCGCCCCGAACGGTCCCAGGTTGACATTGTGGAGAGCACAGGCGCGGCTGGCAGTGGCCGGAAGATTTTCGTAGGTGGAAAGAGGGCGGGGCTCTCAGAGGCACGAAATGCATCGAAATGCATTTCTTGGACCTCAATTCCTGTTCGCTAAGGACGTTGATCCTCTAAACATGGCATCTTTTGTGGACAGGCCACTTGGAGCAAGATGCTACTAGCGGCGCTCCTGGCATTACTAGTTAACTAGTAACAAGGGGCGTCGCTACTAGGAGGGAAGAGAGCAGACATCGTTTGCAATTAGGTTGGAGGCCATCGCTTAGTATGGTTGGAGGCCATGGCTAGTAGGTTGGAGGCCATCACTAAAGACCAAAAAGAAAACAACGAAAAGAAACAAGAAAAGAACGCACAGACAAGAACAGACGCAAGAGACTCTTTGCATCTGCCATCAACTGCCATCGGCTGACTCTGCTCGTGAGGTGTGTTGAAATCATGGGTGATGCCGACACACTTCCCGCAGGCATTGCTTTCACTTGCCGCAAGGGCAACTTGGCAAGTGGAGACGCTCATCGTGCTAGAACGAGCAAGGTAGTCAAGCAACGCTCGCGCCACGACTCGTAGCGCTACTCTGGCACTGACATCCGAACCCAAGGCTTAAAGCCAGACACTCCGAATCAAGATACCTGGTGTGCCCTGAAGATGGACCGTTTGTTTGCCGCTGTGTCAGTCAAGACACGATCCGGACTCGCATGGGAGATGAGCCGCGCCGAAGCGCCGGGCAGGACACCTTCTCCATCTTCGCCGTCTTCGATGGTCATGGCCCAAATGGACACGAGATCTCCCATTTCGTGAAGGACACGAGATCTCCGCAAGCCGGTGAAAGAAAAAAGGAGAGCCGAGCGAGAGCCGAGCGAGAGAGCGAGAATGCGGGCAGGAGCATCTTCCCAAGGTGATTGTGCAGGATCCCAGGAATCTTGGCACAAAGTAATAAGATGAGACATGATGAGCAAGGACGCTATTACGCTACTAGGGGCTCCTGGCATCGCTACTACTAGGAACAAGAAGCTACTAGGAGCTCCTGGCCTTGCGATCGGACGCTACGAACGGGCAGAATAGTGATGAGACATGGTGAAACACGGTGCGACTTGAAGACGTGGCATGAAACCCGTGAGTTCAGGAAAGAACCGACCCGAGCCATCGCGATGGCTTACTAGTAGTAACAAGAAGCTACTAGGAACAAGTGCATCGCTACTAGTAACAAGTGCCTTACTAGTAACAAGAAGCTATTTGGAACAAGAAGCTTACTTGTTCCTAATAGCTTCTTGTTACTAATAAGGCACTTGTTACTAGAAGCGATGCACTTGTTCCTAGTAGCTTCTTGTTTCTTCTTTCTTTTTTCTGAGGTCAAAGGCTCCTGAAGTCGGCTCCTGCCTGGCAGATGCATTCAAGAAGACTCAGAGACTTGTTGCTCGACGTGGTTCCTATATGTTCGTATTGGCTTCTCGTGGTCCACAAAGGGAGGATCCGGATCCGAAGATTCTAAATTCAGGTGGAGCTACTAGTAATGGCCTCCAACCTAAGAGCGATGGCCTCCACCCTAGTAGCGATGGCCTCCACCCTAGTAGCGATGGCCTCCAACCTACTTGGAATTCAGGTGGCCGCAGCGGAAAGCCGCAAGAGATTGTATGCGCGGACATCGGGCACGACAGCCACAGTGGCTTTTTTTGCCGCGCAGCCTGCAGAGAGCACACGTAAGGTATATAGTAAGGAGTGACACTGAAACTGCTTGAGATATTGCGCCATGCATACCACGGGTGAATATGTAGATACATGTCACAGGTTTTTTCTATGATTTCCTTGCGCTGTTCCACCCTCAGGATCACTCACGGTCTAAGCTGACGATTGCCCATGTGGCTGACAGTGCCGCAGCCATCGGCACCAAGATGGGTTCAACACTTAGTAGGTTGCGCTTGCTTGCTTGTCACATCACATGTGGCAGAATCAGGAGAGAAGTGGCTGGGGAAGCCCCTGACGCGCGACCACAAACCCAATGTAAAGGCTGGTTTGCAGCCGTTCAGCCATAAAACAGCATTCAGCTTCAGTCTTGCCAGGGGGAACTTGAAAGAATCGAGAAGACAGGTGCCAAGATTGTTCCTTGGCAATTCAGAAGGATGGAATTCTTGTCACATCGCATTGGAGGTTGACCCCCCCCCCGCCAATTAACAAGAATCTAACAGGACCCGTCCTTCTTTCCGTCGAGTTCCGACACGTCTAACGCTACCGGTTCGTGAAAACTCCTTCCCTCTCAAGCGTCAGCTACCTTCCCGAGGGCTTCGATGGCACCAGTCATCGTGTCTATGCCGCTTGGCACCGGAAACTCGAATTGGACGACTCGTTACTAGAAGCTACTAGGAACAAGTGCATCGCTACTAGTAACAAGTGCCTTACTAGATCCCCCTTGGTTGTGCCATACTGAAATCCTAGACGTAGACGTGACTATTTCAGAAATAAAAAAACTAGCGAAAAAGTTCGCTGATAAGGAAGTCAGGTAGGACCCAGGAAAAAACAACAAGAAATGAGGCTCTTTTGAAATCCTTTTGCTTAGGGTAGGGCGCCAGGATTCCAAAAACACGTAGGACTACAGGATTTCACTAAAATTGTAGGATTTCACAAGGTAGAGATGCTGGGGTTGTGCTAAGACTTTAGATATTCTAGAGATACTGGAGAGGACGCTTTTTGCTGTGGCTGTGCTTGTGCATTTGCTTTTTGCAGCATTTATCTGCTCGGCTGATAGATACACATGCTGTATATACAACATAAGATTGCAATCAATTTAATCAAATGATGGCTTGCGTATGGGGCCATGTAACCATTTGTTTTTAAATGTAAACAATGGTACAGTCGCATTTTTTGGAGTGGTAGCTGACAGAGAATTCGGGCCATGTCTTTGCAAACACCAGAGTCAAACAACGATATCCGACGATATCGAAAAATAACGAAAAAGTGCCAAAATAGACTAAATTTAGTCTTCGGGGATGATTTTCTTTGATTTTCGAGAAAATGAATGCGACGATATGGGACGATATCCGACGATATCGAAAAATCACAAAAAATGCCAAAATGCCAAAAAATGCGCTCACTGCTTGAGTATTAGGTAGATACCCAGGATTTTACTAAACGTTTGATCAGCTTGGACTCCTTGTTTTTTCCTTGGTTCCCTACCCCCTGAACACACGTCGGTCCAAAGGATTTTACAAAAAGCACTTTTTGGGAAAAAGACCTAGGGCACCAATGAAAAAATACAAAGTCACCTTGGATCAGTAGGATTTTAATATGTAAAATCCTGGGGATCTACGTTAGCGGTCAGTACAAAGGGGGATCTTACTAGTAACAAGAAGCTACTAGTAACAAGTGCTACGAATTGGACGACGTCTCGTCTCGTCAAGGACGCGTCTCCGAGCCTCGCTCGTTCGAGGCCAAAGACTCGCGCTTCCCTGGGCTGAATATGTCCCGTTCTTTGGGAGATACGTTAGGCCAGGACGGATCAAATGAGGAAAGACAAGACAACCTTTGTGTATTTTTTTCTTTTAGTGCTATTTTATTCAGCTTCTGATAGTTTTCGCATGTTTGAAAGCACTGCCAAAGAGGCTATTATACATGTGATGCTATAGAACATGCTCTCGAGAATGAGTCACAAGGGGTCAATTGCAAGGGTATTGTGCGCAGAGAGACGAGGCGTCAATACTGCACGTTTTTCATCGTGCAACTTCAAGTTTCCAAAAGTTGTTGATGCGTCTTCCCCTTTCACCCAGAAAGCATGCGTTGACCACCCATTTCACAAGACCATATGTCTGATTTTCAGGTCACGCAGAGTGTGGCATCACTTGTGAGCCAGAGATCACCAGGCTGGGGGAGTTTCAGCATTGGCATTTCCACATTTTGTCCAACGCGACAAACCGGGTGACGTGGTTCGAAAAAAAACGCGGACATCACGGGTGATTCTCACAGCGCATCCGCTGTGCTTACCCTGTGAGGCTTGACATTGATACGAGCTCCAAGCAGATGTTGCTGATCTGTAGCGACGGGGTTTGGGAGTTCATCTCTGCTCAAGAGGCGACGGACGGGGTGAGTTGAAAATGTGGCAAGGTCTCTCGAGGCTGAGCTGAGAAATGGATGCCATCACGTGGATGCCATACATATATATATATATATATTTAGTTATATATAACTCTATATAAATATATGACTATAATAACTGATCATTAGTAAACGACTTAGACATATATTATATACATTCTTTGCACAAGACTTGATGCGGACGTGGCTTGCCACGCGGTTCTAGTGGATTCTTCAAAGGCCGTGGAGATTGTTGGCATGCGCCCACCTGAATTGTGTGACGAAGCTGTGAGCCTGCTTGCAAAAGAATCCTGGGATCGCTGCTTGGTCCATAGAGAAAACATGAAAGAAAACGAAACGTTTCAGAAAACATGAGAAGAGAAGGAAGGTGTCTGAAGGGTTTCTAACAAGATCTGCAAGTTGTAAGATTCGGTTTGTTTCAAGCCTGCTTCTTTCTTGCATGGGGAGACTTATTATTGGACACCAGGATAAACAGCACACCACGGTGTTGGAGTGCACTTGTGATTCTTGAGACACAGGCTGGATACGTGAAGAAGGAGCAGCGGTGGTGGATGATATTACCGTGGGTGTGGTGCACATTGGCAAGGACCGACGACGTGTCTAACACACGACGCCGAGAAAAAGAGAGACTCTTCTCATCGACCTCTCATCGACCTCTCCTAAGATTAGTTAGATTAGGTTCAATTCTAATTCAATTCTTGTTTCTAGATTTTCTAGTAGCGTCCTCTTGTTCCTAGTAGTACGGCCAGGAGCCCCGATCGTAGCGTCCGATCGCTCCGTTCGTAGCGATGCCCTTTGCTCCTTGCCGAATCGGAATGCACCGAGGAGGATTGCGGCAATTGCAGCATATAATTTGGTCAAGGGTGTACAGCTGCATGGAATTCGACTTCTTGGCGCTCAGCTCATACTTTCTTAGAAGGTCAGGCACTTCTTTTTCGTTGGAGGCGTTGGCTATTAGGTGCTTTCGGAGCCCTGCGCCGAGGATGCACGTTTTTCCGGGTCACTCCGGACGTTCGCGAGCCTTTGGTCGCGGCTTTCTTTCCGAGACGGGTGGACCCAAGAGGCAAATGGCAAGCTAAGCCACCCCAAAACCAAACCGATTTGATGCAAAAGAGGTAAATTGAAGCTTGGGCAGGTTTTGGAGTGTTGCCTTCCACGCCACCGGAGGGAGATGTTGGTCATCGAACCGCTTCTGTCAGGCCAAAAGGCCGATTTTTGGTGACAGGTTGGCCAAGTCAGTCGTCATTTTCGCGGCGCTTCGTGAATCATCCCCTCTTGTCGTATGCTTCGGCGCTTCCACCACGAAAAGAGCGAACTGGTGTAGCTCTACTTGAGTGGAAGGCACGACCTACACGCTTTCATTGGTGTGACCCACATGGTGTGACCCACCTCAATACGCTCCCGTCAACATTCTTCAACTCAAACGCTTGCAAGTAGATTCGTCATGCAAGTTGGCGTTTCCTTTGCCAGCAGAAGTTGACTCAAGTGGACACACAAGAAAGGGCACCAGCACTTCAGAAAGCAGAGACACTTCTCTTGACATAGCTGCATCGTTCCATGCTATGGCAGACAAGCCTCTGCTTATCATCAAGGAGGGGACTGGGAGAAACACCGATGTTTGCTCTTTGTTAGTTTGTTTCATTTTCGCGCCTTGCGTGTCTCAACGTCGAACTTGTGAGAACACCTTGAGGGCATCCCTGAGAGCTTCCACACACCAGATTTGCGAGTCTTCTTCGAACCGGCCGTGGAGTCGCGCTCTCGGCCATCACTCTGAAGACCTGTGCAGAATCAAATCTCACAGCAGGATGCCGAGAGACTCAGAGAGATGGCCTCCAACCTACTAGCAATGGCCGACTAGCGATGGCCTTCAACCTACTAGCGGTGACCTCCAACCTAAGAGCGATGGCCTGAGGCAAGGGCTTTTTGCTTGCTTCCATTTTCGCCGGGAGAAGGCGACGTGGTCAGACGTCCGTCGGAGGGGCGAGACGGAGCTAGTCGCTGCTCAGGCTCAACCGAGCAGCGAGTTGACCTGCCGTGTCCAGGCCAGAAGCGAGGACTGAAGAGGGAATCGATTAAAAGCAACCCAAAAGGGAGGCAACCGTTATACAACAAAAGGATCGGAAAAAAAGGGGAGGAAGGGCAAACGCTGACAGGTTGCACTGATGCTGTCGTCCTGTTTGCACAGGAAGCGGCCGAAGAAATCATTCGCTGCTTTCACAACATGCCCTGGCGGGAGGTGCATCCGGCTCATGGGCGTTGAGCGACAAGATATGACAAGATTAAGAAGAAGCCTTTAGAGCAAGTATGCACAAGTGATGACAAGTCTATTTGTGCTTGACATTTTGACATGCTTTGACCATTCGACATTTTGTCCACTTCCTTCGCAATCCTTTCAACCTTCCCTGTCTCTTTTATTTTGGTTGCAGCATGCAATCTTGTTGACATGTTTGCGTTTTGGCAGGTTTTGATCGAAGCTGACGTGCTAGTCTCAGATTGGCAGCGGCCATTTGACCACCGGTGACAGCGACGGTTTTTTCGAGCTCCAGGTCTCTGACAAAGCATGCTGCGTGGTTGAAAGAGGACACGCACGACATGAAGCAGCACCATTGGCAGAGTTGACGCTCGTGACGCTTTGGCCACAAGGGCCGACGGGCCGACAAGGACTAGGAACAAGAAACTACGTTCGGGGCTCCTGGCCTTACTACTAGGAGCGATCGGACGCAACGAACGGGGCTTCTGGCATCGCGACTCGAACGGAGCGATCGGATGAATTTCGACCTCCGCGGGGCAACAAAGCTAAGTCTGGTAGACATCTTCGCCAGGCTGATCGGTGGGAGTTGCATCCACCTCCAGGCTTGCCACAGGCCAGTTCCGATTTTGTTGAATGCTCTCATTTCAGGCCAGTTCCGATTTTGTTGAATGCTCTCATTTCAGATCCATGCGGAACCCAAAGGGTTTCGTTTTTTTTGATAATGGAATGTGTCTTTTCTTGTAGGTTGGAGGCCATCGCCATTCGTAGCTCAATAGAAGATGGTTGTTTTCTTAAAACGCTTCCTTTTCTTGGTGCCAGGGCAACGTGGGCACTGCAAGATCTGCGGTGCTGGCCGCCATCCGGGCCTGCAAGCTGTGCGATGCACGGTGAAACGGTTTGTTTGAAGAAGACATGAAGGGCACCACACTGGGCAAACGGCCTGTGATGGTTTGCCATAATGCCACACCATCGCAACTGATGCCTTTGCACCTTTGTGCGGAATCTGCTTGATCCGTGCCATACAGAAAGAATGCTGAGATTTAAGGCCAGCCTCTGTCATCAAGAGGCGTGCGCGGCATGCCACGTCGTGGGTTGCCAGCATGTCGACCAAAACGATTTGTCAGGCTAGGAGTTGTGCCAAGCAAGATTCGCAGCACGCGAAGCTCTGCAGCTATTCCACCACCTTTGTGTTGGAGAGCCGAGGACTGCTTCCAGAGGGCATTGTTTTAACAATGTTTAGCATGTAAAATGTGAAGCAACTTTGTTGTGAGGAGAGCAAGAAGCCTCTTCTGGAAGGCTTTCGAGAAAGTATTTTTGTCGTTGTAGTAGGTTGGAGGCCATCGCGAGTAGGTTTCTTTATTCTCTTCTTTCATGTTTTGCCCACAAAAACGGCAGACAAAACGACGAACTCTTTTCGACGCGCCAAGCTCGCCGTCCAGCCGAAGAGGTGAAGCGAAGGACGTCCAGCCGTCGCGGCCTGACGCGCCGCAGCCGAAGACACCGAAGGAGTAGCGTCCGATCGCTCCGTTCGAGTCGCGATGCCAGGAGCCCTAGTTGCATTCATGTTCCTAGTAGCAAGGCCAGGAGCCCCTAGCATTCATTAGTCAATCCAGGTACAAATGTCCATTGAAAAATGGAAGAGTTAGTTTCACCCATTCAATGATTCTTTCCTTGTTGCTTTTCATAATCAGATTTATGTGTATGTGTGTCTATATTTATTGTTTATTTTCCAGTCACCTTTAAAGCTTATTGTTTCATGTTCTTCCATGCCGCTTGTGAGTTCTGTCGCGCGGTGTATGATTAAGCACGGTTGGGCAGGAGGGTGTGTCCAAAAAGTCGTTGGCGACCTCCAAGCTGTTAACTTCCCTCAAAAGCCAGACACTCTGACTGGGTCTTGCGAAGTGAAAAGAGCAATGAGCTTCGAGAATTTCCTAGTCTTTGGATGCTTTGGTGTCTCTTTCGCTGCTAGTAACAGGTGCCACGCTAGTAGTAACAAGTGCCTTACTAGTAGTATCAAGAAGCTATTAGAAGCTTTGGTGTCTCTTTCGATGCTGTTTCAAGTTCTTTGCAAGTTCGCACAACTGCATTTGTGCTTGTGTGGCTGCTCAGGGGCGCGATCGCCACCCGAACCAAAGGTGCACGTGGACTGGGCTAACATGTCCCATCGTGCGCCTGTCCCATGCTTGGCAGGAGCCATTGCGGGAGTTAGCCAAATCTCGGAAGCGTTGAGCTTAGAGTGGAAAAGAAGAATTCAATGCTGTCAATACTTGTGGTTCCAGGAGTGGCAGTAAAGAATGCATCCAAGCCCCACGCCAATAAGACGCTCTTTTGTTGCCAGTAGGATGGTGTCCAAGCAGTTCCAGACAATGGATGGCCTCCATTCTACTAGCGATGGCCTCCAAAAGCATTCAGGGGGAGTCCACGTCCAGTGAGCACCAAGTCCAAAGTTTAACCAATAGTGACAGCACAAGCAACGCAAAGCAATCAATTTCTCGTCGCAGCAGCACAGAAAGAAAACCGTCGCAGCAGCACGGAGAGTGTGCTATTAATTGCCAAGTCCATTCCCCAAAGGTAAGGGTCAGTAGAGCGTAGTGACTCATTTCAGACATCAAGTAGAGTCTAAAAGTCTAACTAAACAACATCAAGACAACTTGTTCCTCGGGCAATTCAACTGGCGCACGTTCCTTGGTACAGACTTCAACTATCTTCAATGCATTGCAGGTGTGCCCAGCCGAAAGAGGGCAGGGGGCTGAGTACGCTGCATTGTGTGTGGAGCATGTAGCGCTTCGTTTTGCATTGACATTGTTTGGGTATGTGAGAGGGGTCAACTGGCACCCGTAACTCAAAGCCCCATGCCCGTCCCCAGTAAACCATGAAGCAAGTTCCTTGAGCATCCTCGAGCTGCCAACCGGCTGGCGGTCAAATACCTTAAGATTCTTTGTCCACAACCCCACTGCGATCAGGTTTTGCATAGCTTTGGCCGTTGCATGCTGTGCTTTTCGAGGTGAGTCCGAGCATCTGGAAGGCGTGGCACCGGATTCGCTCACCATCACTGCTTCCCACCGGCGCTCCCGTCGCGAAAAGCTCGCCATGTGCCGCAGATCGCCATGTGCCACGGCCTTTGGACACGGAGCCCGATGACTTCGACGAACCACTGGAAAAGGCCGAAAAGACCTCCGAGAGATGAACAACTAGCTAGCTAGTAAGATCTCTTCATGTGATTCACCTGCCTTTTCTTGTTTTTTTTTTTTTTTTAAATTAGTCTTTTGAAGTCCTTTCATGTTTTTTTTTGGCCCTCTGCACCTCAAACGGAGAAAACATGCATGAAGACGACAATGAAGACCACTCTTGGTGAAGCCAGGCTCCACACTACGAGCGCAGTGACAGGCTTGACTCTGCTGCCGGGTACCTGTATGAGGCCCGCATATTTCAATACCGGAAGCCCTGTCGTCACCCAGCGAGATGCCAAAAAAAGAGCGTTTCTTGCGCAGGACACGGTTGAGCAGATCTGGGACAAGCAAGATGCTTCGGGATTGGTTTGGTGCCTCGTTTTGGAGTCTTTTTGGCAACACTTAGACGTACTTAGACTGTTTGGAGCGTGGTTCTGGCATCATGTCTTGCTTTTGAAATGCTGCTTGTACTCAGATTGTGTGCTTCAATTGTGGTGCGGAGTTTCTTCTAATAGTTGGAGGCCATGGCTAGTAGGTTGGAGGCCATCGCCCATTGCTATTTGGTTGGCACTGCTTGCGGGATCTCTACAGGTACACTGACGCCGCATTCTGGGACCGCATGGCGGGAGATTTGGACGAGCGCTGTGCTGATGGATGGGACGTTGAGGACGAGGCCAACTCTGACACAGGTAGGGGCCATGCAGACATGATGATCATGATGACATCATGATGAACTGCGCGCAATGTGAATGATTTGCATCACATCCTTGAAGTAGCTTTCATGTTCTTTCTTCCCAGTAGCTTGAAGCCTCACATTTTGGTCACATGTTGCCCTGGATGGTGTTTTTGGAATGCGCTCCCTCCAAGCAAGTTCTCACAAGTCCCACAGGTATCGATGAGGAGACCCCGCAGCTGCGGCACTCACGTGCGGCCGTGGGGATGGAGCAGGGCTGTGGACTAGCTGCAGTTCGCCGTGGCGCAGCAGGACCTGGAGCTGTTCGAAAGAGGCCTTCGTGGCCTTCGTGGCGCATGGCAGTCTGGCCACAGCGGACGACACGGATGTGATCTTCGCCGACGGGGCCCGTCGCTTCTCAGGACGCATCATGCGCTCGTGGGGCGGCCATCTGTCGGCAGCTCCCAGCAGCACGTGTCTTGACGAAGAAACGACTCCTCCCCTCTATAGGAAAGCCCGGTGCACCCAGCAACTGGAACCTGGGGAGTAGGTTGGAGGCCATTACTAGTAGGAACATGGGAATTGTATCTTTTTCTTCACACTTTCCAAACGTCAGCAAGCTGTATTTGTGCTTCGGTGTGGCTTGGCAGGCTCTTGGCGGTGGTGGAGGGCTTGCAGCCTAACATGGCTCGAACTGGCCTGGGCACTGTGCTAAGATGACAAGTGGTGAAATGGTCTCGTGATGCAGGTCTCGCAACGTCAAGGTGTGAGCTTGTAGCGAGAAAGAACACAAAAGGTAGAAAGACAGGTGTGCTCGCCATGTGTAGTAGTAGCCTTAAATATGGCCTGGCTGTAGCACTTAAAGCATGCAAACCATCCTTTACACTAACTTGAAGGCTGTGGCCTGGCAAGTCGCTACCTCTTCAGATCTAAAAATCAAATTAATTTGTTTGTGGTTTCCTTGTGTTTTTTTGTTACTATTCCTTTTATTTTTATTGCCTTTTTCCTCTTTAATGTTTTTGCTTTTTTTCTTCATTTCCTTTCCACGTTTTACTACTTCTTACTACCACTTGTGCCGCACGACCCGAGTGAAACGCGCCGACAGCATATGCCAAACAGGAAAAGGTCTCATCCACGAGGATAATCGCAAGAGTACTTTTTTCTTTTTTGAAGGCTTTCCTTTTCTCCTTTGCTTGACGCAAGACGGCGTTCTATTTACTACCCTTTGCATCTTTTCCTGCTATGCTGCAGTTCGACCTTCACTTCTGCTGGAATGAGTTCCGATTCTACCTTCTACCCAAAGGGCCGCAAGTCTAGCACACCAGGAGGTTTGATGTTTGAAGGGGTTCTTTTTGCGCTCGCATGTGCAAAATGGGCGGCGAGAGTGCCACTCCCAGACCTAAGTAGCTCAGTTGTCTGTGACGGCAGTGAACAAGACTGCTTTCTCGTTTCAATTCCGTTTGCTTCCTACGGCGGGCGGGTCCTGAGGTTGGGTTGGGGAGCGGCAGCGAGCCAGTCATGCTCCCAGCAAGCTGCTTCTCTTCCACTTTTTTGGTACGGCGTCGTTGCCAATTAATTGGACTCTAGAGTCTAGACCCGCAGCTACCAGACCTTGTGCCCCGCACTTGGTGAGGACCTAGACCTCCTGCAGACGAATGGAACCACATTGGTTCCATCTACGACCCCCCACAGATGGAGGTGAAGAGCCGCCAAGTCCTCAGTCACTGAAGCCCAGTTCCGGAAGTTGCGGAAGCCCAGCTGTCCGGTGTCAGAGGTCCTCTTCGAAGATCTGCAAGCTGCACTCTTGCAACCGAGGATCCTTCTCAGTGCGGCCTACAGTCCCAGCTTCTTTTAGCGTACCTTGGACGCCCAAAAGAAGCTCCTCAAATGAGATCCCGCACCAGCCGGGAAGCATTGGAAAGCTCCTGTTCTAGTCTATTTGCAGATTAGCACTTAAGTATTCTACAGTGGTGTTTGGTGTAGGTGGTTGGAGGCCATCGCTAGTAGGTTGGAGGCCATCGCTAGGTGGTGCAGATGATGTTGTGCGGTGATCCAGGCATCCTCGCTGTACTTTGCAGAGGATCGCCGGCGCAAGGTCACCTTCGTCCAAGCGACGCATGCCTCAGCTGGCGAAAATCGTGCAATTCTCGAGAGACGAACGCACATTCTAGTGCATGTGTTGACCGCCCTTTGACTCTCCACTTAATTAGGGAACTCAAAAGGGGAACTCAAACCGCTCCGCCTTTCCAAGACGCGTTTCCGCACACGACGTGGCTCGGCGCGCTGGCTCGGCGCATTCGGATGTGCGCGGCATTTCTGGCTTGAACACGAGCGTCACGAGCGTAGATAGGATCCTTCTTTGGCGCCCACTGCGTGTCATGCCCGGCGTGGGCGACGTGGCTCCGGCGTTCAGCCTGAAGGACCACACCGGCAGCGAGGCAGAACGCCGAGCGTGCATGGGTCGTGCTGCGCACCAGAAAGAAAGATGCCAAAAGGTCTATCTAAAGCAAAAAAGGGAATAAGAAGAGGACGAAAGGTCTAAAGAAAGAAAGGAACAACCATGAAGAACATGTCGAAGAAAAGGAAGAAGGGTCCGTAAGGAAGAACCACGAGAGGCCAAAGCACCGGGTCGACAGCGATGCTCCAGGTGTCACTGGACACGCTCAAAGCATCAGGCAAGAGAACATTGATTTGGTTCTACCCCAAGGCAACGGCGGCAACGACTTTCTCCACTTGCGACATCTTGCGAAAGCCATGACAAGCCTACTATAAGCCTGTCAGTCGTGTGTTCAGATTCTCATCATTGCATCTTACCTTGTATCGATCGACTTGGTGTTTGCCTGCTAGGCTGACACTCCTGGCTGAACTGCAGAGGGACAGGGCTTCCAGACATTGTTGGAGAAATTTGCTGAGAAGAATGTAACCATCATGGGAGGTGCCCATGCTTGTGCAAGTGTGCAGACAGTGCAGTTTCTGAGCAGAGGAAGGTGTGAACGTGTACTTGAAGTCGGGAGAAAGGCAGGCCTCGAGGCCTAATAGTTCAAGAAAAAAAGAGTAGAGAAACATGGAGAGCTTTGTGCCACCTAGATAGGGTGGAGGCCATCGGTAGGTTGGAGGCCGAGTAAGACAGTGAAAAGGGAGCCGAAATGTGACTCCTGAAGCGAGTCAGAGTCTTCGCTCCCCAATTCGCGAGGAGTTGACACCACCTACTTGTGGCCTCCAACCTGGTAGCGTACCAAAAACCATCCAGTCAACGGTTGCAGACCCGTTTCGTCCGACTCTGGACGTGGAGGTTCTGGAGACTCCCAAGCGAGCAATCAGGCCTTTGCCACGAAGTTTTCGCCGCTGGTTTGGGCATATTCGCTGCAAAGGCTTCACACAACGCATACATGAACAAAAAAAGAACCAGTTACATGCAGCACGTATATGTACAATGGGGTGTCATGTAGCAATGCCAAGAAAGTATGTTCACAACGAGTTTGCCAAGATTTCGATGATCCAGAAAGAGACCTTATTCCTCAATTTGTCCTTTGCCGCAATTGGTCTTGGTGCCTATGTTGTGCCGCCGCACTCTGGGGCTGCTACGCCAACCGAGGTTCTCTTTCCCGCTTCTGTGTGAAGCTTTGACGTTTTCCAAAGCGATGGGAGCTTCTCGGTCGCAACGTCATGTAAAAGCTACTACCCATCAGGAACAGTATGATGCGTTGATGCGTTGATGCATTGCCGAACCTGAAGAAACTGAACAGATGGGGCTTGTTGAGGAATGAAGAACCTAGAGTAACCTTATATATACAACTGCTTTTAAAAAAAACAGCCAAAACAACACAACCGAAACACACAAGAAACAAAGGGATACGATGATCTTTATCATGCTAGTTGCTCCTAGTAGCTATTTGCTAGTAGTAATTCCGCATCCGAACGCTCCGTTCGTCATGCCCCTTGCTCCGTTCGTAGCGATGCCGGCACCGACGAGAGGCGCGCCCGCGAAACTCAGGTCACCGAGAGGCGCTGGGCTACTAGGAGCAAGGAAGCTACTAGGGGCTCCTGGCATCGCTTCTAGTGCCTTACTAGTAGTAACAAGAATTAGTAATTAAGTTTAGTTAGAATTAACAGTAATTAAATAGAAACAAGAAGCTACTAGGAACAAGTGCATCGCTACTATTAACAAGTGCCTTACTAGTAGTAACAAGA